GGCAAAATAAAGAGAATGAAAAGTTGTAAACCAGAAGATTGATTTATGTTCCAGTTGTTATTGATCAGAGGCTACTTGAAAAAATATTAAGATTTTCACTTACACATATGAAATCATTATTTAGTTTATTATGAAGAAAAATATATCCAAACCAACCTTGTATGTTTAAATAAGAAGAAGTAATAGCATCTAGTTGTGCCAAGCATTTGCTATAATTAACCAAGAGTATCTAACATTATTGTGAATTATTTTTAACTTTAATTAGAAAAAATAATGAACCCCAGGAACCTACAAATTTTGTTAAAATTCTGTCTTATGTTTGAACTAAAATAATTCAAAGGAAAAACTACAAAAACACCTAAGGGTCCACAGGTTTAGTGATATGTTAAAACCTAAATAAAATGTATTGGTGTTGGTATTGGATCAATACCAAAATATTCAGTTTTGCACACTTCTACATGGTCAGAAATTCACAGTACTGTTTGTATTCACTGTTGAAAAGACACAACATGTTCAACCTTTACTTATGTACCATTTGTGATAAAGGAAGGACAAGGACCACATCTTTGTATTTACGTTGAATGGAATTAAGGTTTTATTATGCTCAGAGATACACAATTCTTGATCTTTGGAGCCTTTAGGCAACGCCCAGGAGACTGTGGAGTTCTGTGCACTGTTTCAATCACATTTTTTGTTGCATGAGATGAATTTGATCAACCAAGAGAAGAAGTTCCAGGTCTTCTTTCCTGATGTCTTGCCAGCTTTGACTTCTACAAAATTAGAGGGGTTCCGTTCTATGCAGAAAATGTCTTCTCTCTCTGCAGCAGAGCATTTCTTGGAAGTTTCCATATCAGTGAACATGACTTTTCCTGACAAAGCATCTTTCGTGTCAGCTCTGTCTTTTCTTTCTTGATCAGCAGCAGAATATGGCTTTACTTTGATAATGGTCCTTTCTTTCCACTCTATATTTTTCAGAGCTTTTCGAGAGACTTTTGACTCAGACCCCTTCTGCCCACTTCTGTGTCCAAAGGCTGGATCAAATGAAATGCAAGAAGTTGTTTTTAAACTTGAAGCAAAAGAAAAAAAAATACTCCAGGGTTTTGGAGATAAGGTCTTACCTGGGGGTATAAATTTACCCTTGCCTGAAGTTTTAATGATAGTCTCAGCTGATTCTTGGTAAGCAAAACAATAAGGCCTTACTTTGATGAAGGTCCTCCCCATCTGTTCCTTATCTGGAAAAAGAAGGTTTATCATTGGTACTGGAAGTGACTTTAGCATTTGAGGTATGTATATTCTCAACGGTTTTAGGTCGAGATGCACTGACCCGGTAATATCTGTATTGATCCTGATATTGAAAAAAACTTCTGGATTTTGTATTGTGACAATGTGCCACCTGAGTGAAGTTGCCTCTTGCCCTTTCCTTCTTCAATTTTAGAAGCAAAATTAGTGTCAAATGTTTGTGTTGTTTGTGCTGCTATCATCTTAAAGACATTAAAAAATCTTTTCAGACGTCATAAAAGTTTAGCCAGACGCCCCACCCTTCTTCAAACTGGTGTCAATCAACTCAAGTATGTTTGTGCTGATTTGTGCAGCAAATATTATTGTTTGTGCTGCTTTGGCTTTGAAGATATTAATGAAAGTTTAAAGGCCATTTTGATTTTATGAAAAGAGGAGGCTGGTTGACCTTATGACCTTTAAACTTTTATTAATACCTTCAAAGCCAAAGCAGCACAAACAATTGTTGGATGCACGAGCCAATACAAAACGTAGTCGACTTGATTGACACCAGTTTTGTCTGATTGGAAGAAGATGGGGAGAGCTGGTTGACCTTCCCTGACCTCTGGAAACATTTCTTAATATCTTTAAAATGATAGCAGCACAAATGAAACTTTTTGCTGCACAAATCAGCAAAAAATTAGCACAAACATTTGATACCAATTTCTTCTGATTTGAAGAAGGTGAGTGGGGGGCAGCTTCACTCAGGTCAATGTGCCCAATCCATAAGAGCAGATCTATTCAGTCTAATTCTATGCGTTGTGCTGTGAGCGACATCATGCTTTATCACTTAAATTACATTATAGTTAGTATTTCTAATTACGCTTTCTAAACCATTTGAAACAAGTTTATTTTTCCATAGTTGTCCAAGGTAGTCAACCTATTGTTTTGCTATTATGACTCTATTGGTGTAATTAAGTATGCTGTGCTGGTGCAGAGTTATTAAAAGTGGAATGTGCATCTTCACCTGAGGGTTCATCATTACTTCCACTGGCTGCAGTGTCTGGCTGGTCAGCAACTCCTTGCTGAGCTCTAAAACAGGGTCTTACTTTCATTAAGGTCTTTCTTGGCTGTTCTCTTCCTGAAAAAGAGGGTTTGTAATCTTTGATTAAAGGGGTTGCAATGTCTGGTGATGGGATTTTTGTTCTAACTATGAGAACAGAATCTATAGCTTCACCTGGCTGTCTTTCGACTGCATCTTCCATTGCTCTTTCAGCTTCTTCACTTGAAGTGACATAATGGTTTACTGCAAACTCAGGATTTTTGCAGTCAGTCATCATTTTCAAAGCTGATCCTCCATAGGAGTTATCTCTCCCCACTGATAAATTTGTCATAGTTATGAAACGATGACCAAGAGCGTCTCCTGGGACGATCCGGGCATCTGGATCTACCAACAGCATTCGTTTTAGCAGGCTAATAAATCCAAGGGAATCTTCACGCTCCATTGGGTTTATAGGCCTTGGGCGGGTTTTCAGCAGGTCATCAAGGTTGCGTAGGCGGTTGTAAATGCCGCTTTTAAATTGCGTTCCATACCCTGTTGCGTTTGTATATTCAGCTGGTGTATTCAGTCTGAACTTACAGTGAGAAGAGTCACTGAGTTTAGTGAAGAAGTGTTGCACATCCATGCCATCTTTCAACACATCATCTGGGGGTTGACCATGAATCTGGACGATAGCCCTAATGACTTCATATACACAGTGTGTAGGATAGAGGTTGTAACCAAGGTACATGTAGGCCAAACTGCAACCCAGAGACCACATGTCGACGCTTTCATTCATTTTTAGACCCAAGATGACTTCGGGGGCCCGGTAACCAATGGCTTGAACAGTGCCCACAAACCACAATTTGGATACTTTCACAGCCAACCCAAAGTCAATCAATTTCACTTTCAAAGGCTGAGACCTATGATTGACAAACATGATGTTGTCTGGCTTAATGTCAGCATGAACCAGACCTGCGCTTTTCAAAGCATTCAAAGCTGCAAGCAACTGTTGAGCAATTACTCTGATTTCAGAAAGACTGAGCGGTTCAAAACCTCTGCTCTTTATAAAGTCAAAGACACTCACATCCAGAATTTCAAAGGCCAAACAGAGGTAGCCTTTATATTTGAAGCTTTCAATGAACTTCAGCAAGTTGTTTTTGTCAGGGTCGAGTTGTAGGATTTTCCTCAGTATTTTTGCCTCTTTTTTTCCTTCTTTGAAGCAGTCTTTGCGCAAAACCTTCACGGCCACAAGCTCTTCGTTGTCAAGCTTGGTGCACTTGACCACTGTCCCGTAGGAGCCCTCACCCAGGAACCCTTCAGTGTGGTACACTGATAGCTTACCTTGAAGAACCACATATTTCTCGAGTTTAATATTGAGCTTTATCTCTTCTTCCATGATATTCTTCAAATTCGCTATCTCTGGGTTGAATGTCAAAAGCAAAGTGCAAGTCTTGAGTTGGCTCTTCTGAAGCAAGTGTGGAAGAGAACATGGAATGTCATCCTGTCACAAGCGATAGAATGAAGTTGACGGGTTGCTTCGTTGCGTTCCTGCTGACGGAACGTCGACAGAAGCCACGCCCACAATTCTCACGATCAGAAAATCATGTGAATACGTTTTATTAGAAACAAGTAATCATATATGTGTGGGAAATGATCCAAAGGGAAAGATTGGGACGTAACAATTATCAACCATTTGCTTAATTGGTAGCCTGCCCGTGCTCTAATAATATCGGGCAAATAAATAATTGTTCAATTTGCAGGCCGTTAACAGTGGGAACATTGTACAGCAGTGAGTTCCTGTTTGGGTCAGGATTATTGAAAAACACTTCATGTCTAAATGATGGTGTACCAGCTGCAGGATGGTGTGTTTTTTAATTGTCATTTTGTATCTAAATGGTCAAATTGAAATGTCTGATCCGGTTCAAAGCCCATATTCGACTTTCGTGGTTATTATATTGTTCATATTTCAACTGTTAAGCATTATTATCATACAAAGATCCCACTTCATTGCAAATTTATTCACGTCACAATTGCTTTTCTTAATCATACCTTCAATTTAAATAATCCTCAGAGCAGATTTGGCTAATTTGAAAGGGTTACTTGGCATTTAATTAAATAAAAAAAATATACAAAATCCAAATAAAAATTCTATTTCATTTCAATTTAAAAATGTGCAACTTTTTTGCATCATTCCTTGAATTTTCCTGATACTAAAAGTAAAATACATACAAAAGTTTTCAGCGCAAAGATATTTAAAAATGTTTAAATAGAATAATTTTTGCTGTACTTGTCATCTATTTCTTGCACTTGTGCTGCTGCAGTTTATTTGTTTCTTCGGTGGGAAAGAAAAAACAATTATTAATATGAAATTATTGCTTTTTTGGTTTGTAGGTCTCGTTGACGAAAATATGAGCTCAAAATAACCACAAGGTGGCAGGAGAGCATTAAACACTGGGCTGGGCAAACCAGTTTATGGTAAATTGTGTCTTTAAAAAAATAAAAAATAAATAATAATAATAATAATAATAATTTGAAATATATACCCGATCGCTAGGTAAACATTCTAACCTGTAGGTTTCGCTGTTTAATGTAAAATTAAATATTCTCAATCGGATTTTAAATAATTCATTAAAGTCTTATTGAAAACCGGTGGTGCTGCAGTATCAATAGTCAACAGCAGAGGGCAGCAGTGAACCCCAGCAGCCGCAGCGTGAAGAATCCGGAGGAAGAAGATGGGGGAGGAAACAAAGAGGAGAGCTCGTATTTAAAGGGCGTGATCCTCACCGTGGTTGGTAAGCGCGGTGGGAACTTCAGGGTTTGGTGTTTTGTGCTGAGAGCAGCGAGGAGCAGAAGGTCAAAGCCGGGTCACTGTGAGCTTCATCCAGGTACGTGGATCCAGCAGAACTTCGTCGGGACTCCAGAACCTGTTTTTATGAAGTTTAGGTTTGTTTCTCATAGTGTACGTGTCAGGAAAGTGTCTCCGATTGCGCAAGACTTCGTTTCAGGATTATTTGAATTAAATAGATACTAATTCAGATTTAGACCTGTTGGATGGACCAGTGAAGGCTCTTCTGTTTCAGACATTAACTCGTTTCACTTCAGGTTTGTTTACAATTCCTCTTGCAGTATTAGTAATTTAATTGTTTGCATTTAAACCTAAGATTCTCAATATTTAAATCAGAAAACGTATATTTCTTTTTCCCTTTTAAATATGTGACTAAGCATTTAAAGAAAGAAACTGCACAGTTGAATTTGTCAGAAGAATACACAGGAGCATATCATTCATTGGGGCCTGCCTAGCAATGCATAAGGAGAGCAGTGACTGACTTGCAAAGCAAGTCAGTAACTGCCTCCATGCATTGCATGGCAGGCACCTATTAATCTACACCCAATAGAATGTCTCTTTATTTATTTATTTTTCTTCCGTCAACCGGAATGCGGCTCGTACCGCTGCGAGCCCACCCACAAAAGTGGTATCAAATCGTGCGGCTCGGCGCCGGGAGGGGTGCTATTACTTTTGGTGGGATTCGGAGTTACGATAAAAAAGTAAAAAGCGAAAAACCATCAAAAATTCTTGTCAGTTAGAAACTGCCCAAACTAGAGTGTAATCAACGATTCGTTAGAGTGTGGGAAGCAGTGCCATTCTGACCCCAAATAAATTTTGAAATCGCTGTCACGCCCACAAATATCGCCCTATCGGTTTGAAACTCGGTCATGAAATAGATACGCATGCCTGCTCCGGTAAAATGTTTTCAAAATTTTTCTAGGGCTTATGGTTTTCTGTCTAGGGGCTTCAGAGCGAAGTGATGCGACAGGATTTCGACTCGCTCAGCCAGGTTCACTTCCATGTATTTCTGAAAAATGTCAGACCTCAGCGCACACCATTTTTATCTCGTCGCTGTTATTACTGTGAGTGATGTACAGATATGAATCGCGGGACTATAGGAGACGAAAGATAGCCCTCTCATACGCTTCAAACGGTTTTCCGATATGTATCACGGTTTCCGAATGGGAAGGAGTTGTTCAGACTGCTTTTTTCAGTGAAAACTGACTGGGTGTCTCACAAAGATAGAATTCTTTCTGTCTCACACACGACAGCTGCAGAGGATTAATTACCATAGCAACGAAGCACAGCAGGGCCGAGCAGCTGATTAGAACTACAAAAACGCATCACTGTAGTTTTTACTATAGCAGAGCTCTGAGGAAGGAGCTGGCCTTTAGAACTACTTGTGTTTTGGGCATTTTATAACTCATTTTAACCAACCATTGTTACACATGGAATTAGTTTGGCAATTTTAAATTAAGCTTTAAACAAATTTCAAAATAAAAGCCTTGACAATTTTTATTAAGTAAGTGCTTTTTTGACCATTATATGTCTGATTTAACCAAATTACTGTTGTACATGGGATTACATTGACCATTTAAAATTAAGCATTCTGAAAATTTCAAAATAAAAGCCTTAAGATTCGTCTTAAGGGCTAATGCAGCGCCGCGGGCGCTGCAATGATACTAGCTTGCATTATCTTTTCCTCTCAAGTTAGGGCACTGTCTTGCGCAGCAAGGTAGAGCATTAGCATTAGCCTTTCACCTTGCATGAGGTATTCGCTATTTCCCTTACTTAATGCAGTAAGTCATGCTTGTGACTCTCCACATGGTATTGATGACATTGCAGCTTTCTTTAGCATGAATGCTAATGTTTAGCATCAGAACGCTGGGTCCAAACCGACGGGCACACTTTGGCAGGCCCCGGTTAAATTTCTTCAGGAATTTTCTAGTTTCTGTTGTGAAATTTAAACATGTTTGTGTAGTTTTTTTTTTTTTTATCAGGTCCAAATTCAGGGCAGCAATTTTAAAACTTGATACCCTTTTCTGCTCAAAGACTTTGTGGAGATGCTAATTTAATATTCTTGGTTTCTGCTCTCACTGCCTGCTTTAATAGCAACAGTCTGACTTAACTTGACAGATATTATGTGAATGTTACCAAGAGAAAGATGAGGCGCCTGAGCAAACAGTGCCGACAAAATGAAGGTTGCTTTTAATGCAACACTTGAGCAGCACCATGCTCTGGTGAAAAGATGGAGTAATTTATATAAAAACCACGCAGCAGTACATGACATAAGGATACTTTTCCGTAGTCAGTCGTCTCCAAAAAGCAAAATCTCTTTTCATTAACCTAATGGAGATTCAAGTTTTCTGAGTGACTAATTTTTGAGTTTTTATAAAATGTAAACCCTATTCATCAAAATTAACTGAAATATAACCTTCTGTGTAAATAATCTACTTAAGAGTTTTACTCTTTGAATAAGAATTCAACTGCAAAAGAACATTTTTATACTTTTGTCTCTCCGTCTGCATCAAGGTTGAGTTGTGTATTCAAGAAGGTGCAGCTGGTGTTACTGTACAGTGAGACAAAGAAAGCTTGTCAATTGAAAGTTTTGTACAAGAATTCAGAGGCACAGTCAAGTCAAGAACCATAAATCTGAGTTTTTTTGTGCCGGATTTTGTTTTCCCAGGTGTGTTGAGATGCAGCGTAGCAGCAGCAACAGCAGCTTGACTCAGCAGCTCGGAGAAAGATGGCTGACCTTGATGAACCGCCTTCAGGAGGATCCCAAGGTAAGCCCAAATGTCCCACCTGTGTTTGACTGATATTCCCCTGTCATCCATTGTTTTTTCTCTATTTATTTGGCAAAGTGGAGCTTCCAGGTGTGTTGTTTCCTCTCCTACAGATGGCACAGATGATGAGTACAAAGGTCGGGCAGTACCTCCGCAGTCGGCCTTTCTTAGCTCTCGCCCTGCTGATGTTTAGCGCCATGGGTGCTCTACCTGTTGGGCTCTTCCTCTTGTTTGCCCTCATTACGATAGTTATGTCAGTTGTGGGATTTGTTTTCTTTGAGGGTACGTAGCACATCTCAAACTGAACAATGTGTGTTTTTCTTTTTCTTTCTACTTCAAGCTGATTCTAATTCTTCTGTTTAGTGTTTCTGCTGTTTGTTGGAGGAATGACTCTGCTGTCTGTGCTCTCTGGCATCGCCCTCTTCTCCCTGGTGGTCTCGATCATCGTTACCGGCGTGTTCATCACCATTCCCAACCTGCTGAAACGTTACTACCCTCATGTGACAAAGGTAAAGGGAACAACCTCTTACACATGTAGAGTGTCTGTTTTTGACATTTTAACCAGACTCTTTTTCTTATTTTATTGGGAATGTGAAGAAAGTAATTGTTGAAAGCAAGCTATAAGTAGTCATGTTTGCATTTTGGCCCAAGATGTGTAGAAACCATGAGGGTTCTGGTCAGATGAGACAAGAGGGGAACTTTTCTGCAGGCCTGCACACATACCATCCAGCAGAAAACTCACACTGCACATAACTCTGCATGTGTTATCTCCATGGTGAAACATGCTTCGGTAAGATCGCTTAAAGTAAATGCAGAAAAGTCCAAGAAGATGCAAAAGATTAGAAACTGGAGTGGATGGTCTACTTGCTCCATCCCTGAAGATGCAGCCAGACCTACAATGGAAAAATGTGTTGATCACACCCTTCAGTAGTGAAAAACGGCCAGAATAAAAATGTATTGTAAAATCTACAGTTTGTATTAGTAGTGGCCTCTTTTATTAACTTTTGATCATCATTTATTTCCTTTTCTCCTGAACCAGAGGAAGGGGAGTGAAGAAGAGGCTCCAGGACAGAAGCAGTAGCAGTAGCGAAATGATCTTCTCAATCTGCTCAACAGAAGATAGTCAGGATCTGACCCGCTGAGCTCAAAACCTCTGCCAAGGTCGCTTCTTTATGAACACCAAGTGTCCTTGCTGCTTCAGTGAAAGGAATGTGAAGTTTTACTTGTTTACAGTGCAATATGTATGAGTTTTATACTGCTCACTTCTCCAATTTGGACTTAAGAATCGATCTCCGTTGACAGGCTACATCCTGTTTCAGGACAGTGATGTAGCTACAGCAGCACATTTCTTCAAAATTGTTCTAAGTCCATTTGTAGTTACAAATAGTATGTATATAGTTTGTTAAATAATAATATTACACAGTAAAAAGCATACAAAGCTGTTTTATGGTAATTTAATAATTTTCTTACAAGAAATCCGAGGGGCAAATATTGTGGTGTTAAGAGCTGAGACCATACTTAAAGTAATCATAGCACTGAACATTTAGTCATCCTCATGTGAGCCGATGTTTGATGCTTTCTGGCCTGGAGGAGGAGAGATTGCAACCCAGAGTTTATGTGTCCTGCCAAAATTTCTACATTTATGTGAAGAATTGTTTCAGGTTTTTTGTTGGTATTTGTTTGTTTGCTTGCATCATATTTATCATCCAAGTTTTAATTTTGCTCTCAATGCTTTAATACTAACACATCAGTCAATGAAGTAAAAGTATTTTCATCTTACGTTCTTTCATTCATGATTGTATAGGTTTTTGAAGAAGACGCACATGAGGAAAAACTATTTCCTGACAATTACAGCTCAGTTTTAGAAGGAATGTGTTTATTCTAGTGCTTCAGGGAACCAGTCCAAATCATTTGATACTGACGATTCAAGAGATTTTTTTTCTATTAATAATAATAATTTGTAGTGTGATCGAAATGTCAAAACATTAGGAGTGCCTACCATGTACATGTGGTGTTTGCTTCCAGCATTACGTGGGATAAAAGCCAAGATTTTCCAGCGGAAAGTTGCTTTAACATATGATCATGATTATGTTGATAGAAAAAATGAACTGACAAAAAATTATTCAGCGATTTCAATCTCTATTAACACGTTCATTGAATTCTGTGTTCCACTTTTCGATTATTATCATGAACTTCAGACTAAGCTGCTTTTTCTAAAGATTTGTTCTAAAACACTGGTTGTCGGGATTTGAAGTACAGTTTTGTAAAAATCTGTTTTCAGACATTTTGTGCATATTTAACATTTTTTGCTTTATTTCTTCATTTGAGTTTTTCACATATTGGAAAGAAATAAACTGATTTTGTTTAAAATGGCATTCATATGCAGTACTTTGCAATTGCACTCATAGAGCACAATGATGTACTGATTTTGAGGTGGTCTTCTGGAAGACACACAAACACAAAGTAGTAAGTACTTAAGAGAAAGGAAAAAATTCTATATGGTTTTCATGAGTTTTACACACACAAATGTGTATATATATATATATATATATATATATATATATATATATATATATATATATATATATATATATATATATGTTCCCTGATAGTGTAGAAAAAGACAAAATATGAAGAGAATGAGTCAAGAGGAGCAGCTGCAGAGAACCAAGAATTGCTTGACAAGGAGAAATGTGTTTTGCTTGCTACAAATTTGGTTTGTCTCATAAAGGGGAAAAAAAAAAAAGCCACAAGTCCTGTTTCCATTCTGCCACAACACAAGGATGGGACAGGGGAAGCGTGTAGAAGGTGTTAGGTCAAACCAAAAATATAACATGTTAACTACCTGTAAAAAAAACTGGAATACTTGCAGCTGTGATTGCAGGTTCAGGTGCTTTGAAAAGCTACTATAAAAGACAATTTCATTACACACTTCTCAGATTTTTAGTTGTGAAAAATTGAGAAACAATGCAATTTTTCTTCCTCCTCCCAATTATGCACGCCTTGTGTTTGTGTCACATGACACACCAGGGAAATGCATCAAAGTTTGTGGCTTTACTATGAAAAAAACTATCAGTGGATTTGTGGAGTGATTAGCCAAAATATAATTTACTCGATCTGTGTTGAATGCTGCACATTCTTAAAAGTTTTATCATTTTCATGAGCTTCTTATTCTAGAAGTCGGGGTTTGAATTTTTGCATACGAAATGGTAATGTTACCATCACCTAAATTTTGCTTAAAATGCAGACTTTAAACTTTAATGAAGTGAAGACAAGAATTGAACAGAAAAGGTAAAATAAGTCAAAATCAATGAAAGTATTTTTGATTTTCCAGCAGCTGACTTCTAAGATTTCCTCTCTTTAAGTTTGTAAAAAGCATCCTCTCTTCTGTCGAGGTCAGCTGACTGATTCAGCAATTTAAGGACATTCCTTCGCGTCTTTCTCTCTGGTTTTGCGTCATCATCCAACACCATATTCATTTCAATTCTTTGGTTCTCCTTAATGTTTGTCTCTTTCCATGAATTCGCCTTAGGATGAATTTGCTGCACCTAGTTTGTGCTTGCTTGCTCCGCAAGGATTTGAAGTGTGAGCCAAATGATAAAACCTGAGGTTGGACCTCAGTGAATTTTCCAAAGCTACTTTTGATCTCTCATATTCTAATTAACCTAACCTTATTATGTTTCACTTAGGTTAAACATAATTAGGTCTGCTGTGTTTCCTGGTCTTCCTGTTCCTGTTGGTTCGCTAATGTTTCCTGACAAACCATTAAGGTTTTCATAGAGCAGTTGGATTTCTACTGAGCTCAAATTGTAATACAAGACTATATACACGATTTATGAAGGCAGCTGACTCTACCAGATTAAAAATTGTATTACGATAAAGGCTGCTGAACAAAAATGCAGAAATAGTGAAAAATAAAATTGTGCACTATTTATCAAACATCAAATTCTAATAAAATCCCTCAAGATCAGTGGTTGTGTGACAAAATAGATCATTTTAAAAAGATTATGAATATTTTTCATAATGAATTGTACAATTATTTGCAGTGAATATCCAGTCTTTTTTCAGTAATCAAACCAAGCCACTTAAGTTTGATGATAAGAAAATTTTTAATGGAGGTGATATCATGCAAAAAAAGAAAACAAAAAAAAAAATTTGACAAAATTTGGAAACCCTTGCAGGAATGCCTACTGAGATAAAGTTGACAGGGCCTTTGGATTTAACAGAAATGCACTCGCTGAACAACATCACACCTACTCAGCAAGAAAGCAACAAAAAAAGGCAGAACTGAGCTCAAAAGCTCATTTGGAACAGAAACCAATCAGCTGAGATACAAAAGTTAGTCAATAAGCCAGAAGATTTTTCTAAGAAATGTGGCAATCTTTTCTTTTTTACCCCAGTTTCAGGTTTGGAAAAACTATGGAGAAACTACTGGAAGGTGTTCATGAGTTTGGTTCTGGAGTGCAATAACAGCTAAAACCAGGCCTGAGGCTCCATCTGCTCCAAAAATGTGACGATGCATCGTTTTAGGATTTTAATGCGGTCTACATGTAAGTGGTAAAGACTAGTCAACACATCTGAAATGGAATTTTAAACAAAATGAGCACCATTTGAAAATACTGATGTGCCAAAAATAATTGCTGGTACTCATCCAGTCTATACATTACATTTTATAGTCAAAATCCCTCTATGATTTCCCCATAAAAATATGTGATTTTTAAACAAGTGTAACCTGTTAAAATGTTTAGTTTCATTTTATTAAAGCAAAATTTACACAAAAAAAAATGCACTTCTAATATTGGCTTTGTTGAATGTTTTTTTTCCTCAAAGCATATTTGCTTATAGTCACAAAAATAATAAAAAAAATTTAGATAAATGAACAAAAACACTGAGAAAATGGACATAATCCTCATCAGGCACTCTGATACATTATGCTTTATCTCACTCTTTAATAAGACTGTACATTTTGTGCATTTTCTTACTTCCCCAAGTTAAAGTCAAACAAGGTACTCAAAGCCTACCTTTTGTGTGACATTATGTAATAATAGAAAACAAGGGTATACACCGCACATGTAAAAAAAAAGAAGAAAAATAGAAGAAGCAATGTATCCTATTTTGAACAGCAATGAAAAGAAGTTTTAAGGCAAGATGCTGAACACAGAAATCCAAAAGTTGATGATCTTTGTTCAGCGCCGGTGCTTTGTTGGCATTTACCAGTTCCATGAGCAATCATCAAGACGACTAGTGTTTTTATTCCCCCAAATAGTTGGCTGTTTCAGGCTTCTGTTGCTGTTGTTCATGAGACTCCACAACATCATCTCTGCACCCCCTGAGTCTGCTGGGACTGACGTCGCCTCCAGTCTGTCTTTATGCCGGCAGGCTCAACTTCTTACCTTTCAACACTGCAGGGAGAAAAAAAAAACAACAAAAAAACATAGATGTCACTTAGAAACCATGACTAGAACTATCTAGATTTAGAAGATGCCCTTTTCATAAATCATTGTCAGATTACTTAAAACCACAAACTGAAGCAAAGTGCAGAATATGAAAAGGAAACATAAGATTCAAAAGCATTAAAAACTTAAGCACTAATGGAACTGATTGTTTTTAATCATCTCAATATTTTTTTTAGGTAGCTCTTATTTCACTTACCTACTTTAAGCAATGTACAATCACCTCTGACAACTAAAAACACAGCACAGTTTTACTAATATTTCTCATTTCAAAATCCCTGCATCAAATTTTGAATTTTTATGGCAATTTAAAAATTAATTGAGCACATTTCACTATTAAACATTTGACTAGTTGAGTTTTATTATCTGCATCTTAAAAACAGTACAATATTTATAGAGGATTTTGATTTGACAGTTTGGTTAAGCGCTATTTACCAGTTTTACTTGACACCTCGACCTTCTTCAAACCCCTGCATGCAAACTTATAAATAAGTAAAGGGTTCTGAAACATCTCTACTGAAATTATTGTCTATAGTAAGTCACAAATAGGAAAAGTAAGTGAAAACCCAAAAATTTTTGGATTATACAGCATGTTTCTAAGTTCTGGCTGTGGTATCCAGTGATGTCAATACCTTGAAAAGACCTTGAACTGAGGCAAATTATTTTAGCTACATCTCAGGCATATGAGAGGAAATTTACAGAGCATACCAAGTGTTTGAGCACAACAATTCTTCTGTGAGGAACTGGGACTATTTATCCTCTGATTTATTGCAGAATGATAGGATCATAATCGGCAAATATGACTCGAGACCTTGGAAAAAAATATAATTGCTCCTTTCAGGACTTTTAGATGACTGAAACCTCCGATCAGCTAAGGATGAACTTTCCAGTGATGTTTTTCAGGGACGAAGCAGAGAAGATAACCCTTCTCATGAATGAATGTTGTTCTAGGAAAAGACATTCCAGAAACCATCCATCTAATGAGAAGTAAATTATCCTAACAAGTGACTAAGAATTCACTTTTAATTCATTTATAAACAATAAAATAGATTTTCATCTTTTTTTTTTATCCTTTGAGTCATGACCCACCTTTGGTAACATAAAGGTAGAAGAAGTCACAGTAGAGGACAGTCTGGACCACGCCAGCCACAATAGCAATCATGTCGAAGAAACCCTCAAAGTAGTAACGCCAAATCCAATTGAATAGGTAGAGGGCCCGATACAGGCCCAGGCAGAACAGGTAGTGGGTGGTGATGGTTTCGGCCTCTCCAGTCTTGCTGATCATGAAGAGCTGTGGCAGGATTGCCACAGACTCCAGGTAGATGGAGAATGTCCAAAGGATCTGCAGACAAAAAGATTTTAGTTAAAAACAGCACAGAAAGCAAGTCAGCAATATGTTCTGAATAATTATTGTTGTCAAAGTCAATATTGTTAATCCACCACTTTCATATTTAAAATTTCTTCTGGGAGGAAGAAATTTATGAATGGATGTATGAATGGCCATATATAACCTAAACAAGTTAGTCTGTATTCCCCACAGCAGTTTAAACGCACCTCAAGGGGAGAGAAGTCATGGTTTATCAGAACAGCGAGACCCCCAACAGGAACAATCAGGAACTCCACCCTGAAACTGTCATGGTTTCCATCGTAGGTGGCCCTGAACTTCATGTAGATCAGGTAAACAGTGGCGTACGAACAGCCGACATATATTACCTGGTGAGCAGCAAAGAAGCACTCATCAGCGGCGACGCACAAAGAAACAGCACTGGTGTGTTTGGTTAAATTACCTCACCTTCATGGATGTGTTGTACAGCGAGATGAAAGAGGTGAGGAGATCCAAGTAGCGTGTGGTGAACACCAGGGCAAAGAGAATTTGGCTCTTCCCAGAGATGCCTTTAACAGGAAAATATCGGCAGATACAAAGTTCAAGTTCAGTAAACTGTGGGCTAGAAAACAGTCTGGATAACTCACAAGTCAGGCTTTTCATTGTAGGATACTGACATCTACTGGAAATGACTTCATCACAAAAATATGGTTTTTTTATAATATCAAAGCCCTGGGATATGATCATCAATTTTCTTTGAAACTTGTGTAAAGCAATTTAAGAAAAAATAGTTCGAGCTTTTTTTTATTATTATTATTGAAAACTGGGCCTTAATCAGGCTACCTGACCATATGCTCACATATCAAATATCAAATTGTTTGAACACAATAACTTGCAAAAATGTGATTTATTTGGAAACAAAGAATCCATCTCTTTTCAGGTAATCGTATAAAACAATAAGACCTAACCACAGGACTGCAGAAATAGATATCAAATTATAATATGGATATGTTCACTGTGTGCAAACAACAGGAATTTGCTAAAATTCATATCTGAGATAGGTTTGGGTAGATGAATAAAAGTGTAAATATTTCTACACGAAGCAATGGGAGTATATGATCTTGGTTTGATATTAAGGGTGCTGATGGGCAAAATAGGCAGTTATAATTCTGAAATTACAGTCTCAATATTTGCTCCTACAGAAAAATACATTTTAAATAATTGTTTTAACCATCTCAAAAGCAAATATTAAAAAGGTTATAAATCAGTTTTCTCAACTTTAACATTCCTTATAAAATATTGACCCTAAATTTGTAATCTAACTATTTGAAAACCTTGTTTTGTGTACAAACAATGTGTTAATCAGAAATGTTCAACAATCTGAATCAATGTCCAGTACATAGTGATGTTCTCTGGATTGCATCGTTTCATACAGTCTCTGCTGTTGGCCACTGATGTTGGATATCGTGTGATATTGTGACGTTTTAAACTTTTTACATTGTATTTTTTTTTGCACCAAATGATGTTATAAACTACTGTGACAAAAACCAATTCCCTCTTTGGATTGTTACAGTATCCGTCTCGCCCTAATTTAAAAAAAAAAACCTTTAGCATGTCGCTAACTTCCGTAGCTTCTCCTGGAGCGCCACGTCAGAGAGCAGACCAAAAAAGTCAATCCCTAAACCTCAAAGCAGGATCACTGGGGGTGTAGAGCTGGCAAACCCACTCAGTGTGAACTCAGCAGTTTATATTTAAAATACTATCTTAACCTAATCATAAAGAGTAATAATGATAATAGTTCTCTCTTCTAAGCAGCACAAATACAACGGAATGCAGATCGCAGCAAATCAAACCACAGTTACTCAGCAAATATCATCGATTTAACGTTACAACAGCAGACATTCCCCCAAGCTGCAAGATTTGCCTTCAAAATAATGAACAGAAATTATTGCATTAGGTGAGCTGTTCTGTGGAGGTATGAGATTACAAACAGCAGTTTTTGACTGCTAACAGTTAGCTCTACTTTTAGCCGTTAGCCTTTGGCTCAAATGAATGACCAGTACCATTAGCATGTGAAGCTAGCTGGCAGAAAGGCTAATGAGCAAGACTCATAACACACATTCTGGTTGAAGACATAAGTCAAGCTTAACAAATGTCCCCAGGAATGCCACACTATGGTACATGATAACAAGAGAATAATAAAGTGGAAGGTCACCTGCACAAGATCTGCTTTTCCATATTTTGAGCAGCAGGATGATGATAGCAGCCAGATGAGAGAGGTCTCCTGTCAGTCTGAAGATGTTCATTGTTGCGGAGCGGGAATGCAAGCGGGCAGAGCTGGGAAGATGAAGGTTTCACTATTTACTCCGACTCAAACCGACGCGTCTTGCTGCCCTACAAGTCTTCCCTTAGTAACTTAGAGGGGGACAAAAATCTGCGGGATCCACAGGGTTGAAAATATGGCGAAGGTGCAGGTCGACGTGGAAGGGGGCGGGCTGGTAACACAAAGACCATCTCTGATTGGACGAAAACGTGACTGACAGCACAGATGGCCCCGCCTACAGAAATTGAAGCGTCCAGAAGAGGGACAGTTATTTAGTTAATGTTTTCATCATTTGCATGGTAATTATAATTAGTATACAAGGAGATATAGCTGGGTACATTTTCTTTCAATAGTAATAAAAATATAAATAAAATTAATATTAAAATAATACAAATAAAATAATGCTAAGAAAATATTAAGTTTTTTTAACTAAATGCATCAATTTACAGCAAATCATTATTATAGTTATTATTGTCTTTATTATTATTATTAGTAGTAGTAATGTAAAGATCAGGAGAAGCAATAGTAGTAACATCGCTCACAATATGGTTATTCTGTGAAACAGACTGTTTCAGAGCTCTATTGCACTACTGTGACAGCTGATAAAGGAACTTTTCGCGGCAGGTTACAACACATTACAAGCCAATATGTCAGCTCTGAGAGTACTAATGATGGCTCCTTTGCAGGGTGAATTCATATTTTTGATAATTTTACATCTTTTAATATTGAGCAAATCTTTTATTCGTATTAGCACAAAGTAGAGTAAAATAGTGAAGAAGAATCAATTAAAAAACAAAAGAACAAATGATGTGAAAAGTCTAGTAATCATTTGTATTCAGCTCCTTTTACTCTTATACCCCAAAATAAAATCCTGTGCAAACAATTGTCTTAAAAAGGCAGCTATAGAGAAAATTGTGTACCTGCATATGACTGCATGGCACAACAAAGAACATGAGATTTAAGGACAGCATCAATGAAAAGATATCCTGAAACCTACAGGACAACTATTTGCAGTGTAGATTACAAATCTGATTCTTATGGAAAAGTGTCAATAATCCATATAAAAAAAAAAAAAAAAGGTTTATTACAAATCATGCACAGTGAATATCTAGAAACAATAGGGTGGCGACATCATGTTGTGAAAATGTTTTTCTACACAGGAAAGCCACAGAGTTATGGTATACCGACAAGAATATATGCAATTAAACCTTCTGGCTTATCATAGAAGGTGGAACAAAATTATCACTGCAGATTACTCTTCAGCAGGGGAAAAGGAAGTAAGAAGCTAATGTTTCTGCTAATGGAAAAATTGATATAAACAAAGGACAATTCTGTCAGAAACTTGCAGAAAAACAACCACAAAATAAACATCTGGAGCGCTAATGAAAAGGTTCAGGCCAAAGTAAATCCATGTGCAAATCCAGGCAAAACACAGGCCTTACTCCAGCAGGAAACCTGTTGCAATCATTAAAAATTGTAATTCACAAACGTTCCCCATTCAACTTGACTGGAAGTGAGAAATTTTGGAAATATTAAATACATATATATGTTCCATAAAATCCTAATAAATAGATTGAAATTTTGTAAAATTTTTAGTGTGAAACAGTTAAGCGGCAGAGAATACTTTTGTGACATTGTGATAAGCTTGTAAATATATTCAACTCAAATGTTGTAGCTGTAATTTGCTTAGTAGAGTTAAATAAGGAAGTTAGAGATGAGGAAGTTTAGTACAATCTTCTTCCCATGTAGTCATTTCTCTTCACCTCATTCAGGAAATCATAAGATCACTCACAAGCTGTCAAGCTACAGACATGAAGCGAGTGCTTTGGCTGCTTTTCCTGCTTATGCACCGAGCCGGGACAGGTAAGAAATTAACATATCTTTGATGAATTACATATCTATTGATTCCCCAGTTTCACATTAGTAAAATGTAAGTCCTTGAAAGCAACTTTGATTTGACAGAAACCCTGCTATTGTTCTAAAAGACTTTAAAGATGGAAGTTAATCAAAGGTTATTTGTTGCTCTATATTCCAGGACACGGTCAAAAATCAGAGAGATGCTTGTTTCAGCAGCAACAGTTGATGTGGAGAAATATAGGTGAAAAAGCTGTTCTAAATTGCAGCATTAATTCACACTGTTCAGCTGGAAAGCTAGAGTTTGAATGGTTTCTTGTTAAACAGCATTCCCATAAGCGTCTTATGCAGACCCATAGGTACAAAATTTATAAAAATCTATTAAACATTGATTCTGTTGATGGCAACGACACTGGGCTTTACCTCTGTGCTGCAAAAGAGGCAGAATGCTGCCAACCCTTTGTAGGAAATGGGACACTCCTTGTCGTGGGAGGTAAGGAGACCATCGCCTTGGGAAAAATATGGCTTTGGTGACGTGACTTAGATAACTAATTTCTTCTTTTATGTTTCAGAAAAACCTAGGGTAATGCTGTGGAGGATTCTTGTGTGGGTTTTATTTACCCTCTTAGCCATCTACAGCTTGGCTTTGGTTGCGCTCATCATAGTAAGGAAGGTAAATCATGAATATCTCTTATATCAACAATGAGGCATACAAAACAAAAGCTGAAAGTTTGCAATAAATTTTTATTTTTCTGTTTTCAGCGTGACTGTAACTTGACCTTCGGCAAAAAGAGCCCTAAAACCGAAATGGTAATTGAAGTCTCTTTTTTAAATTGCGTTTCTATTGTGTAAACTACGTGTAAACTGAAATGGAGGGAAAAGCCCATACGTAAAAAGAGGAACAAAATCGAAGGCGCAGTAAATCCCTAGCTCTCGAAACACCACGACTGCAACCCTCGACATACCTTTAAATGCACGTAAGAAAATTTAACCTCTGCATATGTTCTGTTGATCATTTGAAACATTTTTCAGCAGAATAGCGTAAGGAAGAAAACACAGTTTAGAGATGTACTGCAAGAACTCCACAGCAGGTCGACTGTGAGCAAAAGGAAACAAAGCGCAAGAGGAAATGGTTCCCAAGTTGGGGTAAATTCTGTTGCAGCAAATTAGTGTCAAAATTACTCAACAGAAACACTGCAATAACATCTGCTGTTGCATTAGGTTTAAACAGTAAAAAGAAATGTGTTAATGTCTTTCCAGGCAGTAAGTGCAGACGGCAACATCTCTACCGACGACATCTACCAAAATGTCTGATGGTCTTCTCACCCTGTTAGATAACAGCTTCAGGAGGATGTTACAAAGCTATGAAACATGTGTTCGAGGCGACTGTTCTGTTGCAAATAGAAACCCAAATGAGTCAGGAGACTGGTTGGCCCTTTGCTCAAGCTTACCAATGAAATGAGTCATTTACTGCACAGTAATGATGCTGTCTCAGTGTTTTCAGCAGCGTCACATTGACTGTCTCTTTCCAGAGTTCTGTTCAAACTTTCTGCTCAGATGAACTAGCCCTTGCAAGTTTATTCTTGAGCTGTAATTGGAGACATTTATGCAGCACAGCCTGGAAGATTAAATGAGAAATGGTTCTTTTAAGCGTTCAACATAGATCCAAAAGTTGAACATGGCACATGAAATAGGTGGTTTTAAATAGAAACATTAGTAAAATAAAAATATTTCAACTGTGCAATGCAAAGATCCTCTGCCAGTCTCATATTTTGTTGTAAGGTTGATTTGTTATTTTTTTTAAATTCAATTTGTGAATCTTAAAAATCCTGTCACGCTCTGTAAATGATTGACACTGTATTACAAAAAGTTTTGGTCACTTGCTTTTAATATGAACTTTTATGATGTCCCATTTCAATTGCAGATTTAGGAGTTTGTTCATGAAAATTGTTTTTAATCATTATTCCAGAAGTGCATTAATGAAGTCAGACACTGCTTACTAATTAAACTTTAGCTTTAATAACATAAAGCTACATAAGTTTTAAAGTTAAATCAGTTATACTTATATAACAAATTTATGTCAGATCATGAATTCTTAATGACAAGTTGTCATAATGAAGACATTTTGAATAATGTCAATAAGTGTCATGATTTACTGAATGACACTTTATGACAGATGTTATGTCATGTTAATGACGTTGTCGTGACAGTCTTATTCACAACCCGTCAAATAAAGTGCTACCCTTTTTCCTTTAATAGTCTGGTGCTGCTGCAATACGAATATTTCATGCTGTTCTTTAAAATGCTTTCTGTTGTGCATTTGTCATAAGATCAGGAGTTTCAGTGGAAGGTTTGGTTTAACTTTCGCTTTGAGAACTTAAAACTGGTTACACGCCATGTTCCCTCTGTGTCACATAGTACTGGACTATGACAATAATTTGTCTATTTTGGTGTTCAAAATCAGGTTGTTGGCATCAAACTTGGTTGGTTCATATGCTGAACGATAGCATATCAGTCAGAGGAGCTGTTGCCTATAGAGACACACCAGGAAGTCTGGCTCTTTGTACATAAAACAAAAGAAAAAAAAAATGATTACCTTGGGGAATTTTGCTTTCTACTTTAAGAATCGAGTTTAAAATTAGAAACATGTTTAAAACCTCTTTATAAATACCTCACAATGATAAAATCAGAACAGGTTGATATTGGCATTATAAGATAAGCAAATACTGTATCATCTTTATTGCATCAGTTTATATTAGTCAATAACAATTCAGCTCTGAAGCATCCAGTCCAGTGTACTTTTAAAGTTTCATATGCATACACAACACGGAGTCAATAAGCATAAATTTCATTTGACATATACGTTTCCTACAAAATAATGGTTCTAATCCATTTTTGAATTAAATCTGGTATTTAATTTTTATTTCTGAAATTGATTTTTAATCACTGTGACATTTTCTACTAAACTTTTGTTTTCCTGTGAAACCGTGCATTGCATAATTTCACTTGTATGTTATATTCATAAAGGTTTTTTGCATTTTTATTCAGTTTCTTCAAGGTGAATAAAGATTAACCTATTTTTACACACATGCTGGAGTGTGTTGTCAATATAACATGCAAATGAGCTCACTGTCATTTATTATAAAAAGTAACTTGCATTGTTTATATGCATTTTCTTCAACAGAATATAGCTATCAGAGCCTACATAAGTAAAACAAAATCTACTAATTTTCCATTTTATGAATGCATAGCTTTCAATGAAACTTAAAATAACAGTTTTTAGTTTTATGTTAGGGTATAAAATGGAAGTAAGACGAAGACCAAACCTGCAATGTGACTGTAAAAGTGTGAAGGTAAAACATTTGATAAGTTATGGATTGTAAACTCAAAAACATTTCAAGATGCATTTCTTTGGCAACGAAATTAGTTTGATTTATACAGTTGTTCTGTTGAGTTATTTTGCTCTGTCGACTTAAAGCATTGGACTCTTTTCTCAGACTAAAATAAAAAGTGATATTTTCCTTAAAAAGTGTGGGTGAGGTACCTGATTGTGAATTTTATTTTCTTACCAGATGTTGTACAGCAGACATTTTTATTCCGTTTCTTCAAGCATAAACCTAGAATTATGACTGGGTTAGTAGGACAGATTATTTAAAGTCATAGTTAGTTAATACGCATCTTATTTTTAAACCACAGCTGGCAGAAACCTGACACTGGATTTTGGAAATCCTGAGTGGCAGTTGTCCTTCTTTGATAGATTTATTTATTTATTTTTTTAAATATTAAGAAAAGTTTGATTTCTATCAAACTCAATATTATTTCACTGAAAACTGTTATAATCACAGGGAAAGAAAGTACAGCCTGTTTGTTGATCTGGTCTGTATCAGCTCCTAGCATAATTTACATATCCAAAGTGTGCAAAACATACATCAGACTCCAGTTTTTAAGAAAAGCAACACCAAAACGGAAGCCGACATAAACCCTTTCAGCTTTTGTAAGATTCAACAGGCGAAGCAGCAACTAACTGATTAGCAGCAAGTGTGACCAGCACCTGTCATTAGACGTCAAAACCTTTTAAAGGTTAAATTATTACCTTATTATGTCTTTAAAGAGAATGCACTTTTTCCATGTTTCCCTCATCATCTATCACAATAAAAATACATACATTTTAGCAAGATTGATTAAGGAGGCCCCCAAACACCAACAAAAAGAAACCATCTATTCATCCGTTATCTAACATGTTTATCTTTCCGGGGTTGTGAGGAATGCTGGTGCCAATCTTCAGCAGTCAAAAGAAACCATCTTTTACACTTTGAGGATACTGATATTAGGTGTCAATGTACTTGGAATCAACTGTGTGACTGTTGCGGATGGAAAATGGCCTCCAAGCCAGAACTTGCAGAATGGCGACACACATGGGTATCAGACAGACCAAGTAGAACATAACACTGTGGAGACTTTCCAAAGCACTAGAAACAAGGAGATACAAACAGTCATAGGTTATTTCATTTGCAGCTGGTCCTTCCTTCAACCTGGTTTACCAGCAAACACTTGTTTCCTATAATAATACTACATTAATATTGTGCCATTTCTTCTCTACACGTTAATTATGCTGAACTTCAAAGTAAATATTGCCATAGGTCTAAATTATTATATTACCAGCGACCTTTGAACTGAAAGAAGTAGGACACACTCTGTAGATTATTAACTGTGACTCAGTTGAAGATGAAACCATAAACGGAAGTGGAGCAGTGTTTGGTTCAGTTGTCAGAATGTATTTCCACAAATTTCACATTTTAAAGCATATTGATCAATTGTGGGATTTGAACAATAGCAGTTTTTAACCATAAAAACACAACACAGTATCCATTACACTTAAAAAAAATAGTTTAGAAAATTTACTTAATTAAGGACATAAACTTAGAAATTGTTTAATAAATTCAAATTTAAAACTTCTTAAATTATCACAAGGATGATGGTTTACTCGCAAATATGTGTTTTAGGGTTAACAATTAAGGGGTTAAATTCAGTACTTGTAGTCATTTAAACACAATCAATATGGTTCATTGAGAATTGTGTGAAATGTTTTCTAATTTTTGGAACTATCTGGCAAAAGTTGATTTTACTAGTTTTCATTCTAAACAATTTAAGTTTCAAAACAAAAAAATCATATATGGCAGAGTAATTATGCGCAAAAGAATTCAATTCTGTACTTTTACCGCTTAGTAAAAGTTTTTACTATTTATAAAATAAATAATTGTCGGCGCAATGACTTGTCTACCTTTGATTCGGCTCCTGGCCCACATCTTTCAGCTTCTCATATCCAAAGTGGTTCAAGATATTGAGGACTATCATGGGAGCCAGAGACTGAGCTGGTTTGGTGAACAGAGCATTTGTTCCAAACACCATGGAGGAGAGAGGGGAGCTAAAAAAAAAAAAAACCCACAAAGAACAACACCAGTTACAATAATTTGAATGATAGTCCACCTTTGCTGGACGCCAGTGGAAAGCTTTTCTAAACTAAATGGTTGTTATGGAAAGTGGGTGAGGTAAGGGCTGTGGAGATATTTATTTATATCCTTTAAAAACCTCTTCACTAAGCATGGTGGAAGATAAACATCAGTCTGTAAACAAGAATATTTGTCACATTTCAATTTTCTTTTTAAACTTTTTGGTTAAGAGTTTGAGTGGAAATATGAATTATATGTATGGACTGCACATATGCTCTGTGTTTTTTGTTATCATACTACTATTTAAAGTTTCCATTTGCAAAAATGAGATTATATTTTGCATAACTTTTCTACCATGTCTTCTTCCACACCAAATCAAGACAATGCTGATCTGATGCCGATACAGGAATCCAATTGGATTTTGAGATATATTAGGAACACAATTCGTTAAAAGTAAATAAAAACAAACTACAGTGAATTTGTTTTTGATAGCAGGCATATGGAAAGTTAAGTTACGCAAGTTCCAAAGGAAGCTACGCGAAAATGCTGGGGAACATTTGTTGTCAAAAAAAGAACACCTATTAAGGTATTTCCAAGGAATCTGGGAAATACTGTAAACCAAATGTTCACACATGCCTTAGAATAAATGCAGTACTTGTATGTTTTCTTACCTGCGTTTGTATTTTTGCAAATCCATGTCAATAATGTCTGCCAAAGGCAAGCCAAAGAGACTGAAAGCTGCTTGGATTATAACCCTGCATAAATGAATCAGATCACAAAATAAGCTTATAAAGTGGACAGTCTACAGTGCAATCAAAGCTGAAGTTTCTTACATATTTATAGTGAGGAAAAAGGCCAAGAAGTAGTAACGCTGAGGACCAAGCATCAACATGAGGACTGCCATCCCAGCCTCGAAAATAAATGTGAAGAGGATGATCTTGTAGTAGCCAAGACTTTGCAGTAAACTCTGACTACTCAAAACCAAAAGCTACAGAGAGAACAAGGGGTTAAAATCATAGATATATACATTTTTTAAATATGTAGAAATTTTACAGATGGACATTTAAAAACAACAACATAAAAATGTGTTTTAACCAATAAAACTTGTGTATTTGGGTTGTAATTGATCCTTTCATGCAAAAGCTTGAAGCGTCTAAGAATATTTACCTGTGGTAAGATGAATCCTGCTCCATACATGAAACTCTTGGCTAGCGATGGAAGCGCATCTGGGGGAATCAGGTGCTCAGTGAATATCATGGTGAAGTTATTAAAGAAAGCCAACATGAACACCTGGAAGAAGTTCATGACCACAAACAGTTGGAAGTCCCTGTTGGTGAGAATCTGCCATGTCAGCGCCTTCAACATGGAGACGGAGCACGCCGCTTTACTTGCCCCCTTGTCGGCACACTCTTGATCAACTAACTCGTACATTTTGCTATCAAAGCGGCTTTTGCTGTAAACACCAGTGTACATCATGCAGATGCAGCTAATTATAGCAATGAGCACATTGAATGCCTGGAAAGCTTTGAAGTTTTCCATGTTTGTCGACACCATGCCACAGAAAAGAACGCTGGAGGACCCAATTAGAGAAGCCAGCTGAGAAAAAGACAAGAAGAGGTATAAGTAGGATGTGGTGTTTTAACTTTGAAGAGTTTAGGGATGAGACAGTGGGATTACCTGGTTGTATTTTATAAGTCTTAAACGATTATGATGGTTGCTTGAAATCTCTGCAAATAAGGCACACTGTGCGAGCAGCACAAAAGTCAACAGCGCGTCAAAGGCACACAGCGCCACTGTCAGATGTAGGCCACTCAACCAGTCACCACTAGAGTAGGTGCTCCAAGGGAACCAGGCAATGAGAAAGGACAGCGAGTAGAGAGGAGCGCCATAAAGGATGGAGAGACGTCGCTGAGAACAGCAAGGCACCCTGGAGTTATCTTGCAGGTAACCAAACAGAGGGTCATTGACAGCATTCCACACCATGTACACCACCTGTGGGCACATATTATTTTAAACAAATAAGATAGGATGTAATCAGATCATCAGGTTAGTTTTTCCACGAACATGTTGAAAGGATGGATGGCTGCTCTGTTATTACTGGTTGGAGCTTCAGAAATCCCCTTCAATAGCATGAAGAAAACACACTTGGATCTTAATTTGTCCACTGATTTTTCATCCATTGAGGAGTAGGAAGTTCAATTTAAAGTCGCCACAAGCATACAAAACTAACATTTCTTTGGCTCCCTGACCTCTGACCCCTTTATATTTCTTGCGTTGATAAACTTGAAGCTAACCCATTGTGTTGCCAACATTTGAGCTCTGAAGCAGTTTCCACCGGCCAGCGAAGATTCTGTTTTCCCAGCAGCTCGGTCCTCCAGAGACGTCACGTTACTGTCTCAGTAATATGACAATGTTTTGAGACCATTTTTAAGTGATACATAAGATAATAATGCACTCATCATGCAATAACAGCACTTCTTTAGTGAATTTGAACTGGGTGAAGTTAAAATTGAGAAAATTCAGGTAAGACATATTTACAGAGAAATATATATTTCTAATAAATACAAAATGTACATATTTTTAGTGCAGTCTGAGTTCACAGAAAGATCATTGTAGCTCATTTCCTTGTTAATCTTTTATGCGGAATTCTACTAAAAATATAGAAGTTATATAATTTCTGCAAGTGAACCTAATTATAATGATAAAGACTTGTGGAAATGGTCAAATCAGACAATAATGCATTTGTAAACCTCTAAATTAAATTATTATCTTTGGACAAAATATCTAATTCATAGAACACGTGATTGTGAAAGATTAATTGTATAAGTAACCGGTTTAAGAAACAGCAGAGTATATTTCATAATCTATACCAAAACTTTTACGCGTGCATAAACAGGAAGTGGTTTTGTGCAAACACGAGTACATTTGAACAGATGAATACTTTTACATACTCACTTGTGATTGGTGGAAGGCTGCCTCAGATATACTGTACTTGTTCAAAAAGAGTTTGACATAGTAGAAGCTAAAAATATTGTTGATCATGGATGACCCCAGTGTAGTCATGGCATATGCAAACGCAGCATGGTTGATCCCACAGTTCATCCATTGTCGGGCCATCCTGCTGGTTATTCCTCGACGGCACCAGGCGGAAACAGGTTTCTCTTATGGGTCATGGGCGAAGAAATGCTTCACGTCATGTATTGCAAAAAAAAAAAAAAAGCATTCTCAAAATGGGAAAGTGGGTTGATCTTATGGAGGAAAGCACGCCCAGGGTAGTTTTGGTAGTTTTCGCTTTTTCGTGCGTCTGTTCCAGTCAACGACACAAATGAAAGGCTGTCTGACAGAAAAATCTTCACAAACTGCATGATATCCGTGATCCTGTTTCACTCGATTTCTGACTGGACCTTATTCATGATAAACAAAACAGTTGATTGGCTGCAGAAACGACTTGCACGAAGTGCTCTGCGATTGGATGATAGACAGGCCAATCCCGTAACACTGGAGACGCAGCTTGTCCGCCGTAATGGGACAAGCTCAATAAAAGCAAAAATCTCCAGAATTACACATTTCTATAAAGACTGATTGTTTCTATGATTTATATAAAGCTAACAAAAATGAATTTGATCAGTGATCAAATTGAGTTGTTTGCACAGACCATGTATTATTCATCGTTTGCCCTGTCCAATATGGCGGCAACGTTGACGGTTTTTCATTTCCATCCGCTAGTTGGCGCCCTCTAAATGCCTCTCAAGGAAGGCAGGAAGTTGCGAACACAAAAACTGTTTTAACATTTTAGACAGTTTGACATTATTGTGGGACTCATTGAGAATAAATTTAAATGAGGCGAAATAAGATAAGGTAAAATAAGTGCACAGGTTTTGTGTCTCTCTTCTGCCTCCTACTGGATGCCGGGTGTATGTGAAGGATTTTGCCACGTTGCCGTGGACAACAGAAGTTAAAGCTTCTCTCTCGGACTCTTAGAGGATGCAGTCGGTCTGCAGCCGGTGGAGGACACGGGGCGACTCTGAGCCGTGAAGGTTTAAGTTCCCGCTTTCTGTGAGGAGGAGATTCATCAGGCTGAAAGATGTTGACAGACATGATTTTGGAGGAAGAGTTTGAGAAGAAGGGGGATTCCTGGTACAACCAGCAGGACCTTGAGGACGGTAAGGACGCGCCCTAAAACCCGCGTCTGATTGGGACTATGCACGCCAACAGTTGTTGTTTACGATAACATCAGTACAAGCTTCATAGTGCAAACTAAAGTGTTTAAATCACAACAGATTGTAGTCATCGTTGCCTTCCAACACAAGAACAAGTATAACACAAGTCTCCATTTGGAAAATAATGGACCATTTGGAGTTTGATGATTAGATGGGAAGGCTCAGGATTTCCCCAGGCTGTCGCATCCTGTGTTCATTGTTTTCTAAATATAAGGAATAAATCTTGAATGGAAGACGGAAGTGAAAGAAATAACTAGGGTACATTGTTAAAACTCCAAATAGAATGCATTTTTCTGCATTTATTGACGCCATCGTAAATATTTTCACATATGAAACATGTATATTTGACATTAAAATCAACAGTAAACAGACCTAAAGTTGTAGGGGGGGAAAGCATCAACCCTGTTGAATAAGTGTGTGCATCCTTAAAACTAGTGTTTTTGATTCAACTTCAACACTCAGTCTTACTTGGAATTAATGTAAATTATTATTATTATTATTATTATTATTATTATTATTATTATTATTATTTATTATTATTTTTGTAGCACCGATTTAGAGCAAATGTCATATTAACAGTCAGTATGCAACTATTTTATTTCACTATTTCCTCCAAATCTACTAAATTGTTCCATGGAGATTGTTGTTTTTTTTTTTTTTCTTCAATAATGTACAGTGTTTTTTATACCAATCATTATCTGAAACTGAATCAGAGATTGTAGCCTGACTTGTAAGTTTTTTTTTCAGAGGCCAATAATTGTGTTTGTCCATTTGTCTCTCTATCTAGACAAATGGAGAACATAGAAGATTGTAATCGCATGTGAAACACAAACAGCACTTGTTGGAAATTCCTGCAGTTACTTCAGTATCATTGTTGGCTGCTTGGCAGCTTTGTTGACCAGTTTCTGAATTGTCTTTTCTTCTGTTTTTTTTTTTTTTTTTTTAAGAAGAATCTATTTTTTGGAAGCTTAGTGTTGCCCATATTTTCTCCAATGACTGATTATTGTTTCCACAGTGCTATGATGTCATACTGTGGATTTTCTTCTGACTGATACCTTTCTACAATAAAGTCCATCTAGTCTTGTCTGCTAACTTATGGACTTAGACATTTGGATGCAAATGCAGGGAAAATTCCTTGAAATTCGTACTAGAACAATTTAGTTAATCAGATTCAATATAATTAAAGCCCTAATCCAAGAAGTAGTTTATGTGTCTGTTCCCTTATGCATCCAGGTGATTGCAGCATTTTATTTTGCACATTTCCATAGATTTGTTTATCTTTTTATCTGCACTGACAATAATCACAAAAACATAGCAATTGTGTAGTATGTTTACACTTTTTTTTACAATATCTGGGTCTTATAATGATGATTGGTGAAATAATAGTGAAAATAACTTACTGAATATTTTGAAATGAGAATTGTACCAGATCAGCAATAAAGCCTGCTCTATCTATTCAGCAACATGTATCAGTACATTATTTTGATGATTATTATTATAAACGTATCTTAAAATGTTTATGTTCATGCTGTTTCAGAAGTGGAGCTACTTTTGGAGGTTGAATGAACCTTATTGGGTTCAGAGTTTGGAGAGAGTAATTAGTAAGAAGTCATCGAGATGTTCATAACTAATTTAATACCGAACCGTCCACCTGCTGCCATCAGGCCAGAGCTCAAGGTTATATAGACATGACAGGTTTAAGTTAAGCATTTCAGAGCGTAGTAGTTATTCTCAATAGGTCTGCATAATTTCAGAAAAATATTTGTGATACTAATGGTGAAAACTGCAAAACATTATATTGACTATGATTAACCCTTGTTTTAAAGATACTTCCCCCCCCCCCCCCTTTACAATTAGACAATGTCTTGTGTAAACATGGGAATTAAAGGAAATTCAGCTGTACTGAAAATATGCTGATATGTTTGGATAAGACCTGCTTCAACGCAGATCTGCAGGAAACACTGACAGCTAACAAGGTCCAGAGCTGGTGGGAATGAAACAGACAAAGGGAGTCACAAGGCATTCTGAGGAGTATTCCACGAGTGCAGAATATTTATAGTGTACAATAAGTTATGTGTTTGTTTTATGTATTCCTTATATAAGCCTATACTTGTGAGTTTCCCTTGTAAAGGTTGTGGTTGAGAATTTGTTTCTGCTTTGTTTAGATCTCCATCTGGCAGCAGAGCTGGGCAAAACTCTCCTGGACAGGAACCATGACCTGGAGCAGGCCCTGCAGCAGATGTATTCTACCAACCAGGAGCAGCTGCAGGAGATCGAGGTCAGGAATGTTTGGAGAAGGGAAAACAACAGCTGCTTTGACCCTCCAGTTGTGATAAAATTGCACTAGTGAGCATGATGCAATTTGCAGCAATGGGATCGAGAGGAGTTTACATCAACAAAAAAGCTGAAAAATGGGGTCAAGTAAAATCTAAGCCAGTCTGACTTAATGAACCTTTTGGAACAATCTTAGTTGACCTAATTATGTATAAAAGTTTTTGCAGATCCCTTGCCACCTCTTTGCATCCATTGATATGCAATATTTTAATTTATGTAATTTATTGGCTATAACAGTTAGTAAAGTCAGACAGTTTTATGGCTGAATAGTATTATTTTTGTAAAAAAATATTTTTGCTGACAGAAGGTTTGGTTAAGCAACCTGTTGATGTTGGTTTGGGCCACTAATTTTGACCTTTTTTTTTTTTGCAATAAAAAAAGGTCAAAATTAGGTTTTATATTTCACTGCCATGACGTCTCAGAGCTTGCTCTGTACAAGCTGGAGAACACGCCACTCAGTGGGTCAGCAAATGTAAGCGTCTTAATGTGTTTACAGCATAGAGAGGGCTGCGGTCTGAGGATTTATTGAAGTTGATATGCTAATCCTAATACTTCTCCGTGACCCTCGTACTAATGTGTCTGGCACTGGAAGTACCACAAAGCTGTGAGAACACGTGATTGGGGCTCTGTGGCGCAAGAGCGTGTTTGTGTTTGACTAAACCCAGTTCTGCAGCACCTGATGTGTGTTTAGAGACAGATGTCCAGGCTGATGTTAGTGTCAGTTTCACAAACTATGATTATCAGATCTGGAGACCGAGCATGAACTTATTTCCAGTTGAAAGTTAATCTTGGAAACAACTGAAAGTATGTATATTTTGAGAAAAATACAAACCACCAACTTATGTTACTCTCTCATTTTTTTTCTAGCTCCCTGGTGGAGGTTATTGTTTAGCATTTTTTGTTTGATTCAGCCTTATTGTGATAAATTGGATAGATCTTGATTCCAAAGCCAAATTTTAGCTGTTATTAAATTTTATTTAAAGCATAAAATATTTTTGAATTAATCTTCAGTATATTTGCTGTTGGACTCTGTATTTAAAAGTCAAAATCCCCATAGTAAATCAAATAATTAGATTTGAAATGGAAACTTTTGGCTGTATTTCTTTTTTCTTTAATTGGAGTAAAAATGGAGATGATGCTGGAGTGTTTTAATATATGTATTTAAACATTTACATGCTGTTTTATTAATAGAATATCAGCAAGAGTTGAATTTTAATTTTCTTTCTTGTGCATTAGTACCTGACCAAACAGGTGGAGCTACTGCGTCAGATGAACGATCAACACGCCAAACTGTACGAGCAGCTGGACATGGCCGCCAGGGACGTGGAGGAAAGCAACCACAGGCTGGTGCAGGACAACCGCCTGGCCCAAACCAAGATCAACAGGTTGCTTAACCAAACCTTCTGCCTGCAAACCTTCCGTTATTTTTTTCATCATCTATCCTTACGGTTAATTTTTCTCTCTCACACCAGTTTAACGGATACGATCGAAGCCCTTCAGACCCTCATAGAGGACCTGCAGACCCAGATGGACGAGCTAAAGGCGGCTCAGGCAGAGCGAAACAAGAGAGAGCTGGCAGAGCAGCGGCGTGGTTTCAGTGCACAGAGTGTGTCTTGTCTCAAGGAGCTGTATGACCTCCAGCGGGACAGGTAATACTCAAGAGAGAACTTCATTGCACCCTATGCTAATGCAGGTGCAGCCTCAAGCTGTGACAAAGGAACTCTTCTCAAAGAGGAAGACATGTGGTAGACGGAAGCAAAACTGTTGTGTCATAGAAGCTCTGTTTATAAGTTTATTGATGTTG